GGGGGGAGGCGGGAAATGTTCTTCATCATCTACAAGCACCTCTTAAAATCCTGTTTGTCTTGTGTAAACAAAGAGAATAGTGTTTGATTGAGATCATTAGGAGTAATCTTTCCTCTTTCTTTTCAGAAATGGCCCAGCTGAATAGCTATGACAGCCCAGACACTCCTGAGACAGATGATTCAGTTGAGGTAAAGCAGTAATACACTTACTCTGTCTGGTGCTTTTTTTCCTCTGGAAAGAAGTAGTCTACAGTAAAGAATTAATTATAATGCAGAGTAATTTTAATTTAAAAAAAAAAGTGCTGACATTTAGAAGCATGTTAAAACTAGGGTATAGGCTCATAAAAATGTGGAAATCTCTGTACTGTGGTGGTGAAATACTTAGAAGTGGCAAACAGGAATTATCATCCAAGTTTTGTTGATTCTTTTTTAGAGTTGCAAACAAAAATCATCTGGAGAAATTCTTTATATCCGCATTTGTAAATATGATGGGTATTGAAGAGAGTTGGCTTTAGTAATGGACTATTGGAAAAAATTAATTATGTAACTCACTGAGTTTCAAAAATCCGTAGTAGTTTAGTTTATTGGTATTTTAAATGTTGGGGAAAGTCCTGAATCTTCTAGTGCACTGATTGTGCTGCTAATTGTGGAAGGAATCTGCAAGGGTCCTAGGTATGCAGATGGTTATACTAAAGCTGAGGGCTCCAGTGGTTTAGAAATGGATTGAAGAAGAAAAGGACGAAAAAGTGAGGTGTAGAATGAAGTAATTGCTGTTCCTGATTTCCATTTTCGTTGTTTCTTTCCCCAGAGCCGTGGGGCCTCTGTCCAGTCAAAGAAAACTCCATCTGAAGAAGAGTTTGAAACCATTAAACTAATTAGTAATGGTGCTTATGGGTAAGACTTTTAGACTTTGCTTTAGAAGAAAATACTATTATTGTTCTACCCAGAGAAGGACTATAGCAAAGGTTGGCACATGACTGGTTTTTATTGGGTCCAAAGCAAAAATTAATTTTGCTTGGGTCTTACAGAGGTTCCACACTTGTGATGTCTTCTACATTATTCTGGGAGATGAGATTTCTTGCATCATGTTGAGGTTTCTTAGACAATAGCCCCTTACCTGGACATAGTTCCCGGCTAAGTCCTTATGTTGTGCTGAACTGACACACAGCTTCCAGCTCAGGAAAATTAGTTGCCCTGTGTTAAAGCTTTGAGAATGTGGTATTCCTAATCCCTCTGTGGCACAAGTTTTCTGAAGCCCTTCCTAGCTGTGACCTCAAGCCTGTTTTTCCAGTAACTATTTCTGTACCGTTTCTTTATGGTAGGTAGGTAAGATATAGACACTCTAGTACCTTAGCTTGAGGTGGCAAAACATTTCTCTAAACATTGTCTCTAGGGAAAATATTGTCGTTTAGTTTATTATGAGATTTCCTAAGTAATAGTAAATAAATGTAGTTCCACGAGTCTGAGAAAATTATTTTGCACCCATTTTCTTATTGCTTAGCAGGGCAGTCTGTATTTCCTTTCATGCTGTCTGGTTAAGTCCTGTGATTTGTTTGTTTAAAGGCTAAATGAGTGAGGGCAAAATTCTGTTGGTGCAAATTTTATTGATTCATTGAAACAGCGAGAATATTGGGGCAGTAGTAGTTTATGCTTTTCCGTTCTTCCATGTATTCAGATTATATATGTAACATGTGGTTGTTCGTGAGCACTTGAAATACTAAAAGAAGTGCTAAAATTACATTGGGGCAAATCTACTGTGAGAAGAAATACAGTAAAAATGCTATTAGATTTTATATTGAAGAATCCAGAATGAAATTGGTCAGTTAAAATTTTAACTGCTCATACAAACCTATCTAGAATTTTAAAGAGAGTTCCTGACACTGCAGTTCATATATCCTTACCAGTGATAGTCATTAAATTGTAACTGAAAAGCAGTGATATTCAGTAGGTCATAACAGCAAAACCTGAGCATGTGCTTGAGTGTTTTGTTGAAGTGGATGCTTAGTTAACAGCAACTCATTTTAAAAAAAATTGTACGTGGAAAAATTGTAAGCATATTTTTTAGTCAGTGTTGACACAATGGAGCAGGTCAAAGAGGCACATTGTTAGACAAGAAGATTTTATACATTTTCAGTCATATTTCTGCACAGGCCCCATGATTTAAATGTAGCTTTTTATAAAGGTGAGAGAGGTGGTAGTTTTGCCGTTATTCGTATCTGTCTTTATACTGGATGTATCTTAGAGTCAGCTGCTGGTGAGACACAATACCATGTTAAATGTAGTATACTCCAGAGAAAAGGAAACAAGTACTGATTCAATAAGGCAGGCAAACTGGATGAAAATTTTATTTGCAAACTGTTTTATTATTGTGCAGGAATCTAATGATCTGCAAATGATACAAATGTAAGAGATACTTTACTGAAGGAAATCCCTCGTGACAGTGTTGTGTCAAATTAATTTTATGGAGCTTGGAAAGAAATCGTGCTGATTCCATATGTTTTGGACAATTTTTTAAGTGAAATGGTGTTTTGAAGTGAATAGTTGAAAAATACGTGCCTCTGCGATGATGCTTGAGGAGGTTTGTGACATTTGTCTCTGAGCTATCTCCTTGTTAGTCACATCAACAAAAATCCTGCGTGATTCAAAAAGGCAGAGTAGCTTTTGGCAGGAAGAATCATGGGGCTCATTCTTTTCTAGGGGACCTTGGCACTGAGCTGGGATTTTATGGAGTCACAGATAAGTCTGTCAGGATCCATCGCTGTTTTAAAAAAAACCCAAAAAACCAGTTTGAACTGAAAATGGAACTTTTTCTCTTGGTATGTGGTTTTCTAGAGCGGTGTATTTGGTGCGACACAAGACCACCCGTCAACGTTTTGCCATGAAGAAGATCAACAAACAGAACCTAATTTTGAGAAACCAGATCCAGCAGGCCTTTGTGGAGAGAGATATCTTGACGTTTGCTGAGAACCCCTTTGTGGTCAGCATGTTCTGCTCCTTTGAGACCAAGCGCCACCTGTGCATGGTTATGGAGTATGTGGAAGGTATGGTTGTCATTACACCTGCAAAGGGACCTTAGATAGGATGGACTTGTAGTGTGTATGCAGAGTGCCTCCTCGTAAAGGATGACATTTCTGAGTGATCTGTAAGATTTTGAGTGTAAGACTGATCAGTCCACTGCTCTGAACACAATAAATGGTAAGACCATCTCATGTGTGTGCTAGTCCTTTCTTCACAGAAAGTAAGCTCAGTCAGCCCTGCAGTCACAGGAAAGGTCCTGATGCTGTTTTAGGAAGGAGTGTATGGACTGCTTGGGCTGAGACGGACAAATGAATCGTTCGACCACTTTAGCATAAGGAGATACTCCATCTGTGAATCCCTGTGACTAGTACAACATGATTACAGCGGAGGAAACAAAGCCACACATAGAAGACTGTTGGGGTCGGAAGTCAGCATGAACGTTCCAGTCCTCACTGGAAGTAAATCCTCCTGCTCTCCTGTGGGATGACATGGCTAGATCCATAGCACATTTGCTTGGCATTACAGTTAGGAAAGGATAGTTAAGAAACATGACCAAGCAACACAGTCTGTTCTTTAACAATCTTTTTAAAAATACAGTGCTGTTTTATGCTGCAGTTTTCTTTGTTTGTTTTGCTCAGTCTTTGGAATATTATTTGATTTTATTTTATCACTGTATCTTATTGTAAGCAATATAATTCCACTGGTGGATAAGATTAATTTCTTATGCCTGGCTTGCTTGGCTGAAGTTGACTATGAGAAATAAGCTTATAGTTATTGTATCAGTGCTCTTTCAGATGAATTAGTGGAATGAAAACAGATGTATTGACATCAGAAATTTTAGTATTAATTCCTGTTTGCAAGTGGAGATGAAGGTCGAATGAAATGTGTGGACAATGTTCCTTAAGAAGCTTGCATCATGGGCCCCCAGCCTTATTGTCATGACTACCACTGTGTCCAAAGGCATGGCTGCCTCTCCATGTGTAGGGAGAGCCAGTTAGTAGTTGTAGAAGTGTTTACTTACTTTTTTAAGAAGCTTGTATGTCAGAAGTAGGCTCAGTGGTGGAAAGCAAAGAAATTTATAGAGAAACCAAACAGTCATGAACTGCCCTTTCTCCAATGCTTGCTTACGGTTTGGAAATAGTGTCTGTACAGTTCTTGAGCCAGCATGCCCAACATACATGGATCTCAGTTTTACTAAGATTTTAATACTTACTTGAAGCTGAAGATGGAGTGTAGAGAGACCTTTAGAATTCAGGCTAACAGGGTTGAGAGAAACAGCCTTTAGGAAACTTAGTGTAATCTAGTATTGTAGAGCTGTAGCTGTTCTTTCTTACTGATATTTGCCATTTCACTGTGCCACATTTATATCTTTTTTTTTTCTAGGAGGTGATTGTGCTACACTACTCAAGAACATTGGTGCCCTACCTGTTGATATGGCAAGGATGTATTTTGCTGAGACTGTTCTGGCATTGGAGTACCTACATAATTATGGGATTGTTCATCGTGACCTAAAACCTGATAAGTAAGTCTTTAGCTTTTCACAGCCTGGAGGGAGAGACCCAGTTCTTCAGGGGCTTTCTCTATAGGCAAGCGGACCTGGGGCTAGAGACACTAAAGATCTTCCATGGCATCTGACATGTAGGAGGTTTTATGGAGTGTCTTGCTACTGATGTAGAACCAGGTAGACACTGAGAAAGGTTGGGAAGAATGTTTTCAGATACTGTCTTAAAGCTGTTGCTACACTGATGAAATTATGGCAGAAGATAGTCTGATTTCACTAGAAATGAATGCCTTGGCTGCTCTGTTGCATAGGAGGTTCCTTCCAGGTATTTGAAGGGGATGTAACACTCAGAACTTGCTTAGCATTATCTTGTGTTCTTCTTTTTTAAATTTCTTTTGGGAAACAATTAACTGAATGTTGGATTGTTTTGCTGCTTCTCTTTCTTCTAGTCTCCTGATAACTTCCATGGGTCACATTAAGCTAACAGACTTTGGACTGTCTAAAATTGGGTTAATGAGTCTTACAACTAATCTTTATGAGGGACACATTGAGAAAGATACCAGGGAATTCCTGGACAAGCAGGTAAGCTGAAAAGTTTTGTCTGTTGATGTGGGATCAAATGCAGGATTCTGTCTTGGGACAGAATCGGAGTTTGTAGCGCTCCCTCTCTGCCTCAACACTGTGCTGTGCATTGTAGAATGGGAGGAAAAGATACAAGTTGGTTCTCATGTTTGTGCATAAATTGGTATTGTTTGTTATTTCAACTTCTTTTGAAGTGATGCACTTCAGCTCTTAGTTTAGGATATTGAAAGTGCAGCGGTGCAGGTGTGAACAGAAGTTGGTTTAGGGATGTAACATGAATTTTGCTGGAAGGTTGTTCCACGGTCTCCCCCTTCTGGTGCTTAGGAAGTTCATGGCAAGTTCCTCTATGTTTCTTCTTGTAATTTTATCTGTTGACTTAAACATTGATTTTTATCCCCATGATACTTACTAAGGGTCATTTTTCTCCTTAGCCTTCATTTTGTTAGGCTTAACCAGCTAAGTTCTTCTAGATAAAAAGATAGATTTCCCTTTGATGAATGAATAGCTCTTCCATGCACTTCTTTCAGCTTGAGTTTATACTTCCTGGGCATAGTTGACAGGAACTATATTGTTCTGGATGCAGGCTCACCAGTGCCTTGTATAACGGGATTAAAAGTAAAGTACCTAGGATCACAGCTGAATTTTCTTTTTTAGCTGTGCCAAGTGGTAATTCATAATCATCCAGGGGTATTCCTTTGCTTCTGAGTAACAATGTTTTTTCTAGCAGGAACTCTCTTTAGTTAATAGATCATGGTCTTACACTTTGCAGTGTTAGATTTTTTTACAACTATTTTGTTATTGTTGCTGCTTCTAAGCCTGAGGCAACTTAGATCTTCCAACATGATTTCTTTAGCCCTTGTCTGTGCCAGCTGTACCTCCCAAGTTGAAATGCTGAAGTGTGTAATCATGCTGTGCTGCTAATTCTGCATCTGTGAAACTAAATTCTGTGAGCACAGAGATGTGAGGTTTGTCAAAACTCAGTTCCTCATAGCTATACCTGTGCCAGTAGACATCCATCAAGCAGACGGACCTATACACAGAGAATATGCATTTTTCCCATATGCTTTACTAAACGTGCACCAAAGAACTATTTAGCTGACATGTCCACACTAGGAACATTTCATAGTATGTGATATCATTTCTGTCCAGGTAATGTATTCCTCAAATATAGACTCTTGCTCCGTGGAAGTAGCTCACAGCATAAAGCGGTTAGTGGTAAAACATTAATAACTTCCTTGTAAAGCTCTGAGGGGGAAAAGGAAAAAAAAAAAGACAAGAATAAGCTTTGATGTGAGTTTGGCAATTTCTAAGTTTATTGCTTTCTTGTGTGTTTCTCTTGAGGTCTGTGGGACTCCAGAATACATAGCACCAGAAGTGATCCTGCGCCAGGGCTATGGGAAGCCCGTGGACTGGTGGGCCATGGGAATTATCCTGTACGAGTTTCTAGTTGGCTGTGTTCCTTTCTTTGGGGACACACCCGAAGAGCTGTTTGGACAAGTGATCAGTGGTATGTTTCTGTTCTGGCTCTGAAGCGGTTTCAAACTGTGCTGTGAAGTAAAACCTTGAAAATATTGAGGATCCACAGTTTAGTCAGGAAGGTATAGGTATAAAAAAACAAGTTTTAATTTTAAAATATTTATTTTTCTGTGTCAAAGTGGTATTCATCTGATTCCAGCTGTCAGAAGCTGTTGAGCTGGTTAATGTCTTGCTAGGCAGTTTTGTTGTGCTTGGTGTGGGAGCCATGCAGATCCTTGTGGGTTTGGGCAAAAGTATTTGGGGATTTTTCTGTTCTTTTAACTTAAGTGATGGAGAATATGAAAGGAGCAGCCACCAACTGGTCTAATTCAGTCTGATTTTGGTTATTGCTTCTGTAGGTGTAAATGTCAGTCAATTAGTAATTGTTGTATAAATGAAATAAAAAGGAAATTCTGAGCAAAACATGTTGAAGCTGTTGTACTCATACCTTCACGTCTTGTGGCTTTTTAAACCTGTCTCCTGTTTGGAGTTGGACGAATGACTGCTTTATGTTCTCTCAGTGAATATGCCAGTGAAAACATTTCCTATTGGGAATGCTTTCTGAAACAGTAAATTTTTAACACACTTGGCAGATGTCCTTTGTAAAAAGCAAATTTCAGCAAATAACTAAGTATGATGCATGAAATCATTACCTGTGAATTGTTCTCTCTATTCCAAGTATAACGAGTGTGGAATGTGCGGGCATGAGATACAGCCGCACGATTGTCAGTGTCATTGTTTATGGATTGTCATGGAAGTCCCATTTCATACTTTGTTAATAGAGTTCTTAATGCTTTTTTCTCCACAAGCACTGCTTGGATTGACAGCAGCTTTAGCTGACGCTGAATTTTATGCATTTTGGAAAATGTCAATGCTTGAATTGTATTAAGTATGCAAACTACTGAATTCAAGGTATTTACAATTCTGGGGCAGTACTGAACACTGCATTTTACGGTATAGGAATGTGAATGATTATTCAAATTGGTCATGAAGCTGGTAGAAAACGTCAAGTCTCTTTTTGTCCACAGATGAAATTGCCTGGCCAGAAGGTGATGATGCACTGCCACCGGATGCCCAGGACCTCATTTCTAAGCTTCTCCGCCAAAATCCTCTGGAAAGAATGGGAACAGGTAGGAAGCTTGTGCATAGGAAAGTACTAGCCAGAAGCAGGAAAAGAAGCTACCTTGCCAGTGATGCATACCCACCCATGTTGAAAAATGCTCATCTAGAGCTGGGAAGCAGTTTATACAGGGTTCAGTGAATCTTGTGTGGTAAAGCTCTGAGAATGGGTGTACACGAGTCAGACAGATATTACTGTCTTGTTTGGGAAACAAGAGAGGGGCACTGTCAGCTTGGCAACATAACTTCTCAAATTTGTGCTGTTCCATTGAAGGCTTGAGGGTTGTGTCTCCATTTGAACAGTGTGTAATCAGATGTCTTTGAAGTTCTCTTTGACTAGGGGCTTAATCCCCTACCTGGATTTGAACTCCTGGGTGTAATAAAATAAATGAAAACTTTGCCATTCCTAGAGGCCTGTACTGTAGAATTCTCCAAACATACAACAAAGTCTCATAATCAATTTGGCAAAGTCAGATGTGTATGTCAATTTTTCTGCATTGAAATGTCAGATTTAAAGTTTTACAAGCTGACACTTCTCATTCCCTGATAGTAAATAACCATAAATAATCTTTAGCTACAGTCTTGTTTTACAATAATTTGTGCAACACTGCGGCTTCACAGCACAGGTTATCTGTTTCATTGATTTGGTTAGTCTGATTTAATTTTGGATTTTCAGTTGGAAACTACACTTTAAGGATTAAATAAAAACTTACATATATAACAATTCCAAAAGGCACATGTATTCAGCGGACTTAACACATGGGTACACAAGGGTGATGAATAGATCATGAATTAATAATATCAGATGGATTTCACATGTCCTTCTTTACTTCAAATCTATGTACTTGAAAGATGTTGCTGTCATGGAAAAGATGTAGAGTTTTTGCCTTATAAAATGACTTGATGGACTGATGGTTTTTTTGATTTCTTATGTACCTGTAATGCTGAGACTGCTGTTCCACTTGGCATCTTGTAGTGCCGCTGGCACTCAGCAAACCTTTTATCTCTTTTCCTCTGCTAGTCTCTTTTTTAAAAAGACAGCATCATCTTTTATGAATATTAATTTCATTTGAGAAAAAAATGCATAAACTAGTAGACAGAAAATCCTTAGTTTTTCCTTCTGGATACCCAAGCTTCTGAGATTAATAACAAAAGATACTAATTCAGGAAGATGGTTAAGCCCCTGACTTGTTTTAAGCACACGAATGAGTGAGTTTGTGACAGTGGAGCCACTCATATGCTATAAGTACCTGTCTGAGTTTTCTCTCGTTATTCAGCTAAGAACAAATATGGTATCTGGAGTTTGGAAATTTTAAATTAAGATGTTAATTACTTCTTAATCTTGCAACTTGCTGTGGAATGTAACAGCAGATGCTGCCTTCCAGCTGATTTATTCATGTGTTGTCATTAAACAGGGAGAGGAGGTGGGAAGGAGGAAATCTTGTTCAGATTTTATCCTGCATCACCACTTTGGTAAAAGGTTAAGTTGTTTCTCAAAATTCCTGGAAAATGTGTGACTTAAATGTACTCAGGTACATTCTCTTAGGCTCCTGATATTTTTAGGGTTTGTTTTCCTAGTTATGAAAATGCTGAAAGAAACACTGAAATAAAAGATACTTATTTCAGGTAGTGCCTTTGAAGTGAAACAGCATCGGTTCTTTAAAGATCTGGACTGGAATGGATTACTTCGGCAGAAAGCTGAATTCATCCCACAGTTGGAATCTGAGGATGACACAAGCTATTTTGACAGTAAGACTAAAGATTCAGCCTGAACGGCATTGTAATTTTTGTGCATATTTAATTTTTGAAATTGCTAGAGATAAGTCATTGTTAGAAATTGAGTAAAACACTTGATGGAAATTGCTTTTAAAAGTTTATGTTGAATGCCGAACAAATTAATTTTAAATGAAAAAATGTTGCTGCTGAAGTAAATTGGCCTTTCAATGGTGCCTGTGGTCCTGCCAGCCGTGGTCCTGCCAGCCATGGCCCTGCAGTGAGAGGGTCTGTGGTTGTTATGCTGCGCTTATTACAGTACTTCCAAAGCGTTTGGTAAATCTGACTTCCTTGAGTGTTTGGGCAGTATTATCTTACCCTAGTGACTGTTTTCAGACAATAAATGTATTTTTTTAAAAAAAACCCAAACCCTTGAAGACAAGTATGTAAGGAAAATTCTTTAGAGATTTAAAGTAATTTAAATTATTTTCACTGGGAGTGTATCACCTTATTTTAGTATTATTAACTCTAATGAGATGTGAAGTGACTGTCTGGTGTGTATAAATATCTGGGAACTGCTATGGTATCAGTGCTATGTAAGATTCCTGGTATTTCCAGATAAGCACCAGACAGAGTCAGTGCTCTTGGAAGGAAGAGAAGGGAGGAGTGTCGTGTGAAGCATGGAGAGGTCTTTGTTCCCAGGGTCTCTGCTCTCTAGCTTTTCTCGTTTGGCTTGGGGAGCTCAGCAAGTGGAAAGGGCTTGGGCTCATCGCTGGTCAGGGGGGTCTTTCCCCAACTCCAGCAGCAGTGCAGGATGATACCGGGCTATTTCAGTTCCCCAAGCTATGGAAATTTCTGCCCTACTTCAATGGAATCTCTTCCATCCTTCTCCCAGAGCCTTGGGACTTGCTGACTTCATATGAAGCACATTTTTGCTCTGTTCCCGCGCTTTGCTCAGGGTGAAGGGTGGCAGAGAGCAGCCTGCCTCCAGCCCCTTGGCTGCCATGCTGCAAAAGCAGCGATCCTGTTTAGGTAGTGCTCTTCCAGTTTGGGGAAGAGGCTTTTAGGTTAGAGGTTGGATGGAGAGGTAGAACGGAGAGAGAGAGAGATTCAGAAGTCTCCACATACTTGCTGCAGAGAGCAATTTGAGTCAAACTGTGCAGAGGGGGCAGAGGTGTGTTTTGCATGTATTGAGGTTGTTTTGGTACAACAGACATGTAGAAACCAAGGTGGTAGTGTGTTCCCACCACTAACTGGACTTACCGGACACTGAACTTGAGCTCTGGTCACTGACTTGGGTCAGTGACTGGGAACGGCGCAGTGCGGCTCTTGGTGGGTAAAATCATCACGTTCTATTCAGTGATGCAAATCACTGGGACTGTAAAGTAGGAATGATGACAAACTCCCCAAGTGCCCAGGCATGCTCAGTAGGTTATCGGGGTGACTTTGACGTGACTCCTTTATACAGGCTGGCATTCTCATGTCAGGAGATATCTCACATAGACACTGATAAGAGTTGGCATTGCTGTTATAAACCCTAATGCAGAAAATTTTAGAATTTATAAAAGTAGCTTTCTGGCTAATACAGTACAGCAAATTGGGCTCAGTATAGCTATCAGCTTTCTATAGCCGAACTTATTAACGCCTGCCCCACAAAATCCAATGTGGCTGGCTTAGAAATCCAGTGCTGCAAATCTCAAAGCACAAAATCTCTTTGGAGGCAGTTTAGATTTCTGCATTAAAAAATAGCTTTGCATATTGGCTGCTTGCCCATTTTCTTTCACAAAATCTAATCCTTTTTCTAGTTGTAGGAGGGAGAAGAGGACATATTTTGAGGGTAAAAGTTTTTATTTTTTAAAGAAGGTTTGTGTGTATGTATGCAGGACAGACTTTATACAATCATAAAGCTGTTTATTGGAAATTGGGCAGTGAATTGTTTCTGCATTTCTTTTCATGTGATTGTTTGCTGTAGGGAAGAAATATCCCTGCCATGAAAGATCTGCAGGATTAGGCACCTGCTGAGTGTTGGCTGCTTATAGCATGTAATATAGCTGATGATACAAGATAAGGAGGTATTCTTCACTGCTGATTGTACAGGATGAGCAGAACTGGCTGGGTATGTTTCAGTATTAAGGAAAATACCCTGCACGGTGTATGATCACTCAAAGTTCTTTGTAAGGAGACAAGTAGGAATGCTTGAGATGTGAGAGTTATCAGCACTCCCTGCACTGATGAAATGTGCCACGTCTTGTTCACAGCACGTTCAGAACGGTACCAACACCTGGATTCGGAAGAAGAGGAGGACACTAATGATGATGATCATGTGGAAATTCGGCAATTTTCCTCTTGCTCGCCAAGGTTCAGCAAGGTAGGAGCATGTTAGCTTGTTGAAAGAAAAAATCTGGAGAGGAAAGCAGTTTCATTGCTTCATATAGGGTAGAATTTAATCATGCAGATGATATGTGGGAGTTGCATGGTGTTCAGTATTCACTGAGGAAAGAAAAAGCTGTATACGTTGTTTATTCCGTGATAGTTTGTGGCCTATTAGAAGGTGAGTGCCAGAGCAACTGGAGAATGAGATTTTATGTTTCTTAATGTTTCACTAATAGGCTGGGTACTGCAGAGGTCTCTTCTAAATTTGATGCGATTTGATGATTTACTAATGACTTTGATGCTGGCATAGGGAGTGTCCAAAGCTTATTTGCTTTGAACAGCGTCGTTCTGAAAGGGTCTTCCAGTAGGTGACAAGATGGTATTAGGATGAAATTTGATTCTGACGTTTTGAAATAATGGTCTGAAATCAAAGGGAACCTATGCAGTAAGAGCACAGGTGAAGTTTACACCTCTGCTGCTCCTTATTGTCTCAAGTGCAGCCTGAGGAACAAAAGGTGAGGTGAGAATTTCAGAGAAGGATTTGAGCTTATAGTGCATTGTGAGTTAGATGTGCCAAATTATTGAAGCAAAAAGGCAGCTACCATACCGGGCAAGCAGGAATATTTTCTGCGAGGCAAATAAGGGAATCCTTTCCATCTGCTTAGCAGTAGGAAGGCCATAGCTGGGGTACTCCGTCCTGTTCTGGGCAATGTTCTTGAAAATAAACATGGACTGGTAAAACAGAGTCCAGAGCAAAGCAACAAGAGTGATGTGAGATCTACAAAACATAAAACCTAATGTGTTTCCAAATATGTAACTGCTAGAAGGAGAGGAAGACGTTCATCTTCCTGTTCTACCTAGAACTGATATAAAATGATGGGCGCAAAGGAGGTATAGGGTACATGGTAAGAAAAAGTTTCCAATGTTGAACAATAATTAGGCATTGGCATGGGTTGCCTGGGGAATTTGTGGAATTTCCATCTCTGGCGGCTTTTAAGAACAGGTTGGAGAAGCTTCTGTCAGATGTTAGAAGAGAGCTGATTCTGCTTTGAGGTGGGGAAATGGACAGGAAGCCCTGAGGAGGTCACCTCTAGCCATACTTTCTGGATTTAGGTCTGTGCAGGTCTCTCATTCTTACTCAGGGGATCTGAAATAAAAAGTTGGAACTCTGGACATTTCAAAGTAGTATAACGCCACTGTTAGCTTGGATAAAATACAGTATGTTTGGGGAGGGGCAGGAGGGAGAAGAAATACTGTCAGCCCGCTCTATTAATTGTATTTTCCTCTTCTTAATGAGATGGTGATTTTACTTAGGGCTACCGAAAGATATTTCACTTTTTCAAGACAGATCCTCCAGATTTCCACTACTGAAGTCAGGTTTGAAGCACCAGTTTGTTCTTTGTCCTCAGCCGGGTTACAGTGGTTTAAGTAACAGTTACCATTAATTTTATGGAGTTGCTCCTGATTTGCATCACCAAAAGTGTGTTTAAAATTGGACCTGAGGATTAGTTGGGGTTTTGAAAAAGTTCTCGTGAGTACGTAAGGGTTTCTTTTTTGTGCCTTTTCTCACCGTGAGTATTATTCATCTGTTAGACTGAAGCTTTTCTTTAGGGTTCAATGTTTTTGCCACAAAGAGAAAAAGTTCACTTTTAATGAATTTATTTTAAGACCTGGAAAATTATACAGCATTTGTAATGTGGGAGGCATAAAAGGCTCATTATATTTTGAAATTCTTGTCTGACAATTCAGCCATATGATTTATTAATAGTTATCTTGTTGATGCTCTGAATTTTTAATAACATTATTTTCATTAATCTCTTCTTATGTAAATTAGGTCCACAGTCAAGTGTAGTTTTAAAAGGATGGATTTTTTTGCTTAATCATTTAATTATTTAAAGACGGCTGTAAAACCAAGAAAGGCACTTTCATTAAGCTGTCAGCATTATAGTAGATTCCTTGAGGAGGGCAGGACTTTTTTGTTCTGAAATAAGCTTGGGGCAATGCTGATAGACTGATGATAATGAAATGGGGTCATGAGCGTGATGCCTATCACTGAATTGAATTTGTGTAGTAAGATTTCAAGATCCAGATGCCAGCCTTCAAGAATTGTGGAGCCTGCTTTGGCAATATCTCCTTTTAGATTTGAGAGTCGTTAAAAAGAAAGATCAAGTAGTTTCAAAAAGTTTTGTGTTTCTGTGGTGGGCAGCTGTTTTCAGAGGAGAGCTGTTGGATGCTGTTGTAGAAAAGCATTGTGAATGTTTCTGAAGCTTGCCTTTTTCCTTTCCTCCCTGGCACGCTTTGAGCATGTCACATCTGCACTGTGTTATTTAGTCAAAGAACATTGCTGAGTTCATGTTTTTAGGGAGTATCTTCCATTTTGAGAAGAAACTATGCCCCTTCATCAGAAAAGGCCATGTAGGTTTGTTTTCTCTGTACAGAAGGATCTTTTGCTATGTGCAGGTGTATAGCAGCATGGAACGTCTTTCCATCCATGAAGAGAGGAAGACTCCACCACCAACTAAGCGGAGTCTGAGCGAAGAAAAAGATGACCGACTGGACAGCCTTGGCAGCTTGAAGAGTCGAGACCGCAGCTGGGTGATTGGGTCTCCTGAAATGTAAGTTCTGTAGAACTAAGTCTTCTGGTTTTCTCACAGCATCTGAGAAAGACTGACGTGTGCCAAAACTTTCTATGACTGGTGTTAGGTCAGGAATACTTCGTATGATTATTTCCACAGCTGGAGCCTGGAATAAATAGCTGAAAATGAATGCGTAGAAGTGGTATGGTCCTTAAATGTATCTAGTTAAGTACTAACATCTCCTAAATTTGTAGCAATGTGGTGGGTTGACCCTGGCCAAAATG